GTGTCAGTTGTGATCACTGGAAACAGCACACAAAGTTTCACGCATGAAGATTCGGTTTCCGAAGAGAAACAAACGTACAAAAACTACACTCTATGGACAATCGAAGGTAATTCGGGCGGAGCCAAAGGCGAGGCATGGAAAGAAGTTGGCCTTTGGCCGGCTACGTATCAGGCGACGCAATGAAAGAATCGGGTTAAAGCGCGCGATTTCGGAGAGTGGAGACAAATCGATCGATGAATAGATGGCCAGAAAGAGTTTCTAGTGAAGGCACTCCAAGAACCAAGTGGAAGCATCCCCGTCGCCAGCATTTGTGAAAGACGTCCGTGGGCACTTTGAACGCGTAGCAGCCTTTTCGATTTTCGAATTTTTACCAAAACAAAAGCAATATTTCTGTTCTTTTCATTCTTATCGTGGATAATGAGTCTCAAGCCAGTGATTTATGGCTGAAATAGAATCATGATTTTTCCGCGAAGGATTCCTTTAAGCGGAATTAAATACAGTTCACTGCGTCCAAACCGAAAGAGCCAAGCTGGAAATGAAGAGCGCGTTCCATTCTATTACAAAATCTCAGAAGAGCCTTCTACCCCGACGTCTCAGAAGATTTTCCCAGGGAAACATGGTATACGGTTCAAACTCATTCCTCGACGGATCGTAGGCCATTACGAACGTATCCGAAACGATTGTGAAGGAGGTGTTGCATAGTCTGAATTAGTGCCTATAGGAAGGTGCTTGTACAAAACGCCTCATGACATTATCTATTTGTTTCCTCATTTGCTTTTTTTGCAATTTCATCGGAATCAACAGCCTCAAGCATCTAGCTAACTTGCTGAGGTGTCTGTTTCTGATATAAAGTCTGCTTCGTTTTGCGTTCCCTATAGTGCACGAATTCGTTATCTTGCTCGTCAGAAAGCTGAAATTAATCAATTTTCTTAGAGAAACAGCCATTCTCATTGATTAATGACCATCATATGTCGTCCATAATTTGATATTTACATTTCTTGAAGGAGTTGAAAAAAGTCCAACGGCGAACATGGAATAGCGCTAATCCCATGTTCCTCTATTCGAGTTCGAAATGTGAACCAAACAACTGCAGTGCAGTGAAATATTACATTTTCTTCTTCATAGTATAGAGAAAGGATTCTGTGGACAATCTTCTGAAAATAGTGCGTCCGTATTCATCACAAAAGGGGTGGTTGACGCGGAATGCTTTTTACGTGCATCTAAATGTGTTCAGAATCGTAATCCTAAGTAATGGCTTGCCGAAGTTATTAGGTTGTCTCATGAGTAGTAGTGAGTAGAGTAGTTTTTTTCAGAAAAGGTTTTCTCTAATCCACTCGCTTTTACATCATGTTATATACCATTCGAAAGAGAATTGTCTGCTCTACAAGATGCTATGTTCCTCTTCCACCTCTGTTCCAGGGTTTTCAAATTTTAGGTCTGCGAAATGGGAGGTCCAGCCGACAAAAATTGACCAAACCGACAACTAGCTCTAACTTTATTTTCCCTGGGGAGAAATCAATCAATGATGTACCCTCTACTTACTCCATGACCTCTTCTAAACATTCCACTCTTAGGTTGCCGAAAAAGCTTTGCCGTTTTTCTTTTCGAATTGGCTGACGGATAAGCCATAGCAATTTTCAAATTAAAATTGTTCCTCGTAAACGTCCATTGTTTCATATCGAGTGGTGTTCCTTTTACGAGCACTTCTTCTGCTCTACTCGCTCATTTGTTTTGTTTCTCTGTTTGTTGGGAATTAGGTTCGAATTTTAGGTCCAGAAAGTGACCGCATTTTTTGAAAATTATCGGCTTGAAGAAAGATGAGAAAAATGACGGCGGTACTAACTGTATGATTTGTTCTTCGAGTTCTACTGGTTCTTCAATACCTCGCTAAAAAAATTTCGACGCTACTGCTCAAGTAATGATGAATTTGACCGTCGAGTTCTGGAATTGAAAAACGCAGAACTCGAAGGTCATCATCATTAGGCTACAAAAAATTTTCTGAGGGGCCGCGCGGCCGGCGGCCTGGCGGGGGGCTCATCTCAGGTAATGGTGCTGACCGTCGAGTTCTGGTTGAAAAACCAGGTCTGGAAAAGGAACGACGCGACTTGTTGGGAAACCTAATAGTGTAATGTTCAGAAGAGGTCATGTGTAAGTAGAGGGTACATCATTGATTGATTTCTCCCAAGGGAAGATAAAGTTAGAGATAGTTGTCGGTTTGGTCAATTTTTGTCGGCTGGACCTCCCATTTCGCAGGCCTAAAATTTGAAAACCCCTGAAGCAGATGGAAGAGAAACATAGCATCTTATAGAGCAGACAATTCTCTTTCGAATGGTATATAACACGATGTAAAAGCATGGGGATTTAGATGAAAATTTTTTGGTTGAAAAAAAGCGACACTACTTATGAGACAACCTAATACAAACCAATGTTTTGTTTTCACGACTTGTGGTTAAAACCAGGCCTTCTCAGAAGAACAGGCAAGACTGGTAGGTGTGATAGTCAGCTAGAGCTTTGCTGGCGTACGTGCGTTACGATAAACTTTAACTTTTCTTCCAACGATCTTTCGTGGTTGATTACTTTCGTTAATTAATAGTTAAAAGTTATGAAGTACCGTTAATTTGAGTTCTTTTGACGGTTTTTCCGTTAATGTTTTGTATGAAGCTGTTTTCAGTCCGCAATTGCCGAATTGCGGGAAAAAGAAGTGGAACTGCGTCGGGAAAGTCGACGTAGTGGACGAAAAGGCACGAGTTTATCAGTCGAACGTGCTCCAGTAGAGCCTGCTCCTGAGCTTCCAAGTTTGAGCAGTATCTGATCTTTGCCTGTCTAAGTTTTCCTCTTTCTTGTTCTCGCAAAGGCAAATCGGTAAAGCTAGAGGTGCAGCTTTTGTGCAGGTAGAAGGCCGCATATTCAGGTGGTTTCGCTTTGAAACGCCGTGTTTCTCACTGACGCTTGGACGTCATCATCATAATGTAACTGACAATCAGTTAATATAATAATCTAAATATTTTGTTAATTTAGTCTCTTTCTATGAGCTTATATCGATTACTGTTTATTTATACACAACGAGTTTCAGTCTAATCCAAATAGATGATTTGTTTGTTTAATTGGGTATTATTGTATTGTATTGTGCATGCATGAGTACAAAATGTGTTGTTCTATCGCCTGCTTTGCTTTAGGGTCTGATTGAAATCCCGATACCACCGACGGGTACCCGACAGGAGGCCCGTCGCGCGGCGAGAAGGCAGAGACGAGAGGGGTCAGCGGACGAGTCGCAGCGCGTACTGTAGCGATTTAGCGTCAAGTTAAATAGAATGTACTATAGTACGTCCCACATCGCACAATACGCGCTGCGACTCGTCCGCTGACCCGTCTGCGTCTCTGCCTATTGGCCCACTTCGGACTCCTGTCGGGTACCCACCATCGACCGTTTCCCTATGTCTATAGGTGCTGATAGGCGGTGGTACCGTACGTTCTTGAAATTCCGTCTTGTGATCCTCCCGAACCCCCTTACTGATCGTTTGTGTAGATTGATGTCTAGTCGTATTCACGCACTTCTGAAGTGCTCCCTGCCTTGTTGACCATTCACAACGCTCATCATTAGGCCTATTTTTCTCCGTCCTATTCATTATCTCTACCAAATTTATGCTATTTATAATCTCATATGTTCATTTCCTTGGTCGGTATATACATGTGATGCTTTCTCGCGAAATTTCCACACTTTGTCTCTCCCGTTCAAAGAATCTCTTTGATTCACTTCCTTGTTCCAGTTCCACGTATAGACCGTTATGCACATTATTTATCATAAATTATTTATTTGTTCATCTATTTACATCGAATCGAAATGAATACCGATGTAGACGAATAGCTCCTTTCAAAGGTATGGCCAGCAGTCCCCATGAGGCGGAGAAGAAATGCGGTACCATAGCGTCAGCCAACGCCACATTACGAGCTGATATCCATCGAACCGTATCCACCAGTTGTATAGCCGCTGCTGCACGATTTGCCACAAATAGTCGTCCTGAATTGGGAAACTTGCCTGGAACACAAGCGCGGTGAGGACAAATTCGGTTGTATTTTCTGTGCCCAGTCCCTGTAAACGAAAGTAGGGTCCAAAATCGTGTGAGGAGGCTATTTAAGCAACCCGCATGTGATGGGGTGATTGTGTTGAAGGTATAGAAAGTCAAAATCGCCACCTGCCTGTCGTCTTCTGCCAAGGCTCCCGGTCTCTGACAGAGAGCAATGCGGCGACGATCGACCACTTCAGAATCACGCACCGAAAACATCAGCACGGTGTTTTTGTTGCCTGTAAATGAGGTAATCCAGCTTTGTGTGGGAGAATGCTCGGCTCACAAGGCTAGAAGCATATTATTCCGAAAAATAATAAGAGGAGAGTGACTCATAACGGCAATTGACAAAGAGCACAATTACTGAGACGAAACTGGGCAAGTACTCGTAATAGGCTTCTCATTTCCTTTTTTCCGCAGAAAAAGGGTACAAGGAGTAACAAAAGGTATGCGTGACGAGTACGTAAGTGTCTTAAGTCGACAACTTCTCCTTTTAGGTTGCTATGCGTTAATGACACTCTGAATATCTAATGGAAGGCCAAAGGATTAAGGAAATATCACGCTCGCGTCCATCAATTCGGAAATGGCCACATTATTGACTCTATTCTTTTTCCGATAGATATGCAATTATTAATTGCAGTGGTAGCATTGACTGGTTTAGGGATGGTGAGAGATGTGCAGCGATTTTTCAGGTCATGGTAGAGGTTCGGGACCATGCGAATTTACTTCGGGGGGGGGGGGTGGCTGGAAGGCTTGGTTGGGCTTTAGAGCAGATTCGACCAGGATTCAATCGGCCGAACTGATGCACGACTGAGACCGGCGGGTTAGTACCGATATGGGAAATTGGTATGGGTCCAAGTATGTCATAGTTATAAAGGGTGAATTAACGAGGACGAACACAGTATAGGAGGGTGCAAGAAGTCATTTTGCCCATGGCGAACATCACCGTATGTGTTTCGCGCAGGGTGCCGCTGTTGATGGAAGTTTTGAGGCAAAAATTCGTTTCCCAATGTCCCCTCCCAATAACAAGCAGGCCTTCCTTCACTGCGGCATCCGGCCTGATATGGCGTTGATCTGGTAATCACAGTCTGATACAAGAGGCCTCGGTAGATGCTAGGCTTCAGCTCTAATTGTTTCGTGATCGGTTAAACTGATTGGATGGCTTAGAGACACTAGCCCCGACTAAGCGATCCACTTCTGACCAGCTTTTAAGATACCGTAGCAATGGCCCACGATCCGTCGGGGACCTCGTCGGGTCCGAACCGTGCACCATGTTCCCGTGGAAAAGTCTTCTGGTGCTGTCGGTAACAAAGGCTATTATGAAGTTTTCTGATAGAATGGGAGCTCTTCAATATCCAGTTGGGTGTATTAGGCTCAAATTTGTCAAAGTGTTATTCTTCTTTTTAAATGTGAGGGGAGAGTGACTTTTATTGCCGCCCTTCCGTTTACATCGGGGATGGGTTGTTGTGCTGACGAGGTTGTATCCTTCATCGTCGACAAATTTAGTACAATGTGAGGTTATCGACCATACAGACCTTATACACAGTTTGAAGTGGTGTCTGTGTGATTCATAATATCACCGGTTCGAACTAAAAGCTTGGATGCGCCTACCTTCTACGACCAGTATTTGAGTAATAGGACCAATGACGGCGAATGCGAGCATATCGGTGTAGCTCTCAGAAAGCCGGTATTGTAACTCTGTCCACTGTCCGACTGGAGTGAGCTCGTACAATGACGAGAATATCTGAGAATACTTTCATTTTTGCAGGGCATATTGTAACATTCAAAAACCTTAAGAAATTGAACTCTGAGGTAAGTCTATTTACAGAAAAAACAGTCAAATAAACTGAATAAGAAAACCCCTGACTTTGTTCTGCAGTCGTTGGAAGGGGTAAGGCTGCTCGCTCCGAATCTTAAGGAATTTTCAGGGTCTGAGCGGGAATGAATGGAAGATGTTATAGACACGCACCTCTCCACAAACACAAAGGTACATGTAGTCCGTGTGAGCGATACTGAGGCGCTCGCTGATCACTGTCTCGTCCCTCATCCATTTCGGACCTGAAAAGGACTGTGGTACATCAACAATTATGGCTGGTATTTTCCACACGATGTCTACAAGATCATGGTGGCTGAAATTAACAAATTTATTGAGGAAACGGTAATTATTTTCACTCTGTTTGGTAACAGATAATTATCTAGAAAGGTATACTTGTAATCTGCTTTGGGGGGGGGGGGTAAAATCCGTACTTCCGTACTTCGTATTCCATTCGGAATGATACACGGTTAGCATTTTCCTTTTAGAATCTCCAAATACATTGATGTGTTAGCGCCCATAGTTTTGGGACATCCTTTTCCAGCCTTGGAACATGGACTGGAATCACCTAACTCGTTATAAATGCAGGCTACTTTCTTGCCATTATTACATACTTATCATATCATGCTTATGTTAGAGCCTTCCTCACCGTTACTCTGTGTCTTGATACGCAATATTCTTTCCGATTGAACCAGATTATCACTCTCTGATAGAAATTCAGGAAACTGATTAATAAAGAAGTCAAATT